GCTTTCTGGCATCAGCCTCGCGGACGTTGAGGGTCAAGGGTTCTGGGTTCAGGGTTTGGGTTTAGGGTTTTTGGGTTCGGAACTCGGTTTCGGTGCCAGTTGTCGGGTCTGGCAGCATCATCCACGACGAGAAACTACACGGCAAGAGCCCCTATTCTAGCTCTGCAGTCCCTGGCCCTTGCCTGGGCTTCAGCTTTTTAGGGGGTTTGGGGTTCCAGGGTTTTTGTTGCCCAACCCAGCTCCTGCCCTTCGCCTCTTATCCTCAGTTCCTTCTCTTCGCCTCAGGAGTTCCTGAACGAGCTCCGCACCTTGGCTGCAATGAGGTCGCGACTTTTGCTAAGAAAAGGAAAGTGCAGGCCAACGTCAGTGCTGTATGAACAAGACAGTTACCTTAAGTCCGAAACCCTAAACAGAACCCAACAATTCCTTTCATCATTGCTCAGGTCCCCTTGTCTGATCAAGAAGTTGTCAGTTTCCTGCACGGGACTTCGGGCTTACGTTAGGAACCTAAGGGGTCTACGGGACGTTGGCTCGGGGTGGTTCGGGATTTGGGGATGTTCATGGGTTTGGGGTGTGGGATGTCGTGTGCGGTCAGACCACCGGATTGATTCTTCAGAAGCACGATGCGGTCAGACCCGAAGAATCGAAGTCAATACGGCTTCAAATTCACAGCACACCTCAAACAATCCCCGGAGGTGTGTTCTGGAGGTGTTCCGGAAATGTTCCGAAGATGTTCCGGAAGGTGTTCCGGAGGTGTTCCGAACATAGCAGTTTGCACCAGCCTCGAGCAAAGGTCGCGGATCTTCAGGGGAGATCTCATTCGAGGTGGGGTGCTTGCATTGCCGGGAATGCTCAGTGCCTGTCCGTAGGCACAAAGGCTCTGTAAGCGTTGCTGACAAGATCTGAGACCGATCCAAAGTTGCTGGTTGTAAATGCACCTTCGGACCTGCGTATGTCTAGGCAGATTCGTCCATCAGTTGCCCCCGTTAATGCATCCTCACCCCTCTTCATAAGCTCTGAGAAACAAGTCGGATCAAAGGCAAAAGAAGCAAGACAGGACTGCAGGGCGTAATGCCCGGCATCATGATCTGGTATGCGTTATGAAGCAGCTGCAGCAACCAACATTCACTCCCACAGCACCTACACCCCAAGCTTCTGAATCCGAAGGCCCTTAGGCCTCACATGCGAGATCGTTACTCTCAACCCTAAACCCTAAACCGTCAGCAGTCGCAAAACGGTGCTCAAAAAAAGCAGAGAACCCTAAACCGCTGAAGCCCGAAGTCCCAAACCAGAAAAACACCCTAAAACCCCTAAACCCTAAAACCCCTAAACCCTAAACCCTAAAACCCCTAAACCCCAAAACCCTAAACCCTAAACGCCAAGAAAGCCCGCCTTGCCAAAGCCTTGACAGGCCTTTAAGGCCCTCTTCGCGGGAGACGAGCTGCCTCCTCAGAGATCCCTTATTATTATTATCATTATCATTATTATTATCATTATCATTATTATTATAGGCGTCTTCTAGTAACCCCCCAAGAAAGGCCCTGGAGCCTAAACCCAAACCCCGGAAGGCGGGACCACACCCCCACCCAGAGACCCTCATCAGCATGGGACTTGATCTTGACTTCGGGTTCCAGAAGACGCGCCGTGTTGTTTGGGTGTTCTTGCTTCAGGGCTTTGAGGGTTTAACATGCAAAGGTTTGGGGTTTGCGATGTGTGAGGCAGCTCCAGAGTTCGATGAGTTGGGGTGATTTGCCCTTTGGGTCTGGGGAAAGGGTGGAGGGCGATTTAGGTCTCGGGTTTGGGAGCCCACGGTTTTGCGTTCAGGGGCTTACAGCTTAAGGCTTAGGAATGTTCACAGGGGGGCTTGTCTAAGTGTCGAAGCCACAAAGCCCTGCAAGCCCTGAGCCGCATCCCAGCCCTTGTGCACCCTAATCCCTTCTCAGAGAATCTTCTCAGGTCGGGGTGTGTCATGAGCTCCTTCATTGGTGTCCCCTCCGGAGCTGCAGGAGGCGTAGTGCCGCGGGCTTTTGGACTCGGGACTTTGCAGTGGTTTCGTGGCCGACGAGCGTCAGTCACCAGGTTCCGGTTACGAGCATGGCTGCATGATCCCGAGGGAGTCACATTCAGTCAGCTCCACCCGACAGCATCCAAAATCCGGAATCCGCTGCAGGACCCGAGGCTGCCAGCCGCCGGGAAATATGTTCGACTATACTCCTAAACCCCAAGCTGCTCATCCTTGTCAACACCCCCATGTCAAGAATAAACTCCGCGAGCCAGGAAGACCCAGCTGAGCCTTTGCGGCCGGCTGTTTCGATGGCCGGCTCCTCTGTGCCGTTTGGAGTTTTGGGTTATGGTGTAGGGCAGTTGTTTGTTAGATACGTCCAACATCCAAGGAAGGACTAGGATGAAACGATATAGGACTTCGGCTGTTGTGGTGTTAAAAGGGACTGCAGGTTTGATCGCGGGTTTCATCAGATCTACGATTTGGCAGCCGAGATTTGGGGTAAAACCGTGATCAGCGTTCTTGGGCTTTCTTCCGTGTCTAGTTTGCGTATAACAACAAATTCGATAAGCGCGATACGAGAATAGTCGTCAAAAAGATTAGGAGACTAGCGATAGCAGTCGGGGTAGCAGATAGCAACCATAATATCAATATCCCAAAAGTAGATCCCTTAATGGGGGGGGTTCCTAGAAAGTACCCTTAGTAGCAAAGGGCCCCAATTAGGGGATCTACTTTCCAGATATCAGATCACCAGGGCCTGAGGCTTGCTCCTGCTACTGATAACCTTAGACCCTTTCATAAAGGGCCCCAAAACCCTGTTCTAACTCTGAATAGCTATGAAGACCCCTATATTATAGTACCCTTATAGACCCCTTATAGAGACCCTTCCGAGCTGCAAGCCCTTGCGGACCTCCACGGCGAGCCTCGACCTTGAACCTGTAGCCCTCATTATGACCCCTGCCTCTTCCAGTTGGGGCTACAGAACCCACTCAAACCTTTTGGAAACCTGGCGTCACCTCCGCTCCCTGACGAAGAAAATCTGACACTCACACGCGGCTGGTTTTCACGCGCCCCAAGCCTGAGGGGCCTTGGGAACAGGGTTTCGAGCTTGAGTGCATGTAGGGGTGTAATTAAGGTAGTTCTACTAGTATGAAAGCGTTTCCTTGCGGGGTTTTGAGTTCAGTGCCTGGTGTTGTGACCTCAGCAATTACTGGTTAGCCTCGGTTGGGCTGCGGTTTAGAGAACTACCAGGAGCCACTCCAAATAGGTTTCGGAGGGGTTGAACTAGAAACCTGCACTTAACCCAAGCCCTGGGACACCCGATCCTCCTCTGAGGCCCGGACGGCTGAAATCTCTGAGCAGCCCCGGCCTCTGCGGATCGTCCTTTTTCCTCAGCGAAAAGTGCTGCTGAACACACCTGGCTCGGGTTTCCACGGTTGCTTGTCTCTGAGAACAACCTGGCTTCTGCAAGCCCGAAGCTCTTAAAGCGCGACCCGAACCGAGATCAGAGCTCCCCATTGTAATGCCTGAAGCCCCGCGCCTGAAACCGCAATCTTAACCTGCGAAGCCCCTGCATGGACTCCATGTTGAGCACTGCCGAGTGTATGATGCGACAACGAATGTAGTAGATTTACCTGAAGCTACACTCTGTAATACAAGGCGTATCACATGCAGAACTTCTGATTAGCCAGAAGGGATGAGTTCACTGAAGTTATCGTACTGTTTTCCGAGGTCCGTAACCTACTCAAACGTGTCCTTTCCGATTGTCCTGATGTGTTCAGTAATCCCTGCTCGCATTGGCAAAGGCGCTCATGTTGTTGACATGCATTGTTTCATGCTTGTAGCGAAGGTGATAGCAGTCACCATCACCATCAACATCATCATTTTGTCGACAGCATGGATGCCGTTCCATCATTTCAGAGGGCGGCAGCATTAACCCACAAGTGCATGGGCATGAAGTCATGAATCTCGGCCATGAGATATATTCCCCACACTCCGGGTTCTCGTAGGCCTTCGGCTGTGCATCGAGGTCGGTGTTATAACTTATTATAGCAGTCCTTCCCGTCGTCGTTTCATTCATGCCAACAACTGCGTGCATTTCCTTTTTGTCATACTTCGTTGGGCTGCCCGTCCTCGTTAGCAGTAAATGCCCACATCCATGCTTGGCTTGTTGATCTTTTCAACTGGACCTCAGGTTTGCCACAGCTTTCTTCACGACTCGGCGGTAAGTGTTTGAAGTGCCTTTGTTTCAAAGGCCGTGAACCTGGACCTTGCACCCCGAACCGAAGTGCACAGCTATAAACCTTCAATTGGAAAGTTGCAGCACCCTGTCCGTACAACGGCGGGTCCGAGTTGGTACATCCCCGCCTCAGAGTGATTTCCTTCACTGCAATGCAAGCAATCATGACCCACCGAGCATGAACGCGAGAAGCTGCTGTTCTGCAGAGACATGCACAAACACCATGGAATTGAAGTCTTTGCATTCTGTGACCATGTAATTAAGCGCTCTTGGAGCTCAATTGCAAGCGTTTCTAACACCAGCAGCTTTTTGTTGCTTGGATGTGAGCGGCCTTCCAGGAAAGCACAATAGAGGATTTGGTAAATCATTAAGCCATTGAGTTGAACGTTCTTGTTCTGCCTCCTTGCAAGGAGCTCATTCAAGCGTTTGACACATGTTATAAAGCAGATCTCGTGCATCTTGGAGTCTTGGAACATGATGTGGTGTCTCCTTGCCACGTTCGCCTGCTTACAGCACGTTCTGCAAAGAAACGCTAGGATTCGTTGAGGTCCAGGTGCCAGGAGGAAAGCACACACGAGTAAACAGACCATGCATAAGAGCACACTTGCTTGACCAGCAACCACATGTTCCTTTGAGCTCTTGAGTGCGGCCGGGCCGCTAAGAAGATTGCCGCAAGCGGATGCATGGTTTTCCACGCGTCGAAGCTGTGAACGCTTCTCTGTCACTGCTGGGAATTGAAGCAGATCTGCAACCGGCAAAATGACTGACAGAAGTCATCGCATCGCAGGCAGCTGTGCTGATGACTTCAAGAAAGAAGAATATGAAGAGGAGTGGCAGCTCGAAGACGGGACGGGTGGCTTCGGCACCCTGGACGTGAAGGTACCGAAGGAAGAACCTGACTCACTCCACGGCCCTGGATTCGTCAAAGACGAGAAGGTGTCAACGCCTGCCAAGCGCAAGAAGGCGGCGCCGGAGCAAAACGTCGGTTTGAGCTTCGAGGACCTGTTCCCGAAGGAAGCCGTTCGCCAGTTCTGTGATCGTTACAAGGCTGGTAGGTCTACCAAAGAGGATTTCTTCTACCGGCACGAGCACACTGATGAAGGAGTCGTAGCAACCTTGGTCATGCCACTGCTGAAGAATCGTGAGTTCCGTGGTTATGAAGCTGCAGACACAAAGGAAGCGGAACGCTCGGCGGCAGAAGCTTTTACTGCAGACGGGGAAGTGCTCGAAATTGCTGAGCGACTGCCCCCACCCTTTTCCCACTTCAAGAAACGCGCCAAGAACAGTCGGAGAAAGCAAGATGAGATGATGGCGCAGGGTTTGACTGGTGGGAAGAACATGGTCCTACAGATGGCTCATGATCGGTACATGGGCTTGCGAGAGCAAGGTGCAAGGACTGCCGTTTGGGACGGTAATGCTTGAGACGTCTCACCAGTCGAAGCTCAGCAAGATAAATTCGACTTTCGGAAAAGGCCGATATAGGCAGATGCAGCATGGTAGTTTCGGCCCTCTGCGAGTGCGTTGACTGTCAGGCATTCGACACACTGCACTTAATTAGGAGTCGCGTTGTTGGTATAGCCAAGCTGCCGCATGCCTGTAACAGCTCCGTCTTCTCCACTTCAAGCAATCGGAAAGTGGCCTTTCCAGGCGGTTTGACGACTCCACCACCGCCCTGCAGGCTCACGTGTGCAGAGTTTGCAATGCATCTACAGGTGATGCTTTGATTCTGGTGCAGAGCTCGTGTTGCTAGAAACGGTTGCGGTAATCATGATGCCACACGTAATCCACGTCGGCATCGCCACGGTCAGCATCACAATCCGCCGAAATTTGGTTTCCATCTACATCACCACCACCACCACCACCCCGACCAACCCCACCAAGTCATCCGTATCATCATGATCACCATCTCTCTATCATCATCGCCATCCACATCGTGTGTCAGAGCTCCCTATGCAGTTCGGAGCCCACGTGCTGCTAGTTAAAGAATCACTCATGAGCAATCGAGGCCAAGTGCACGATGTGCTGTGTGACCCCAGCTTTGTGTTGTGAAAGAGGCGTGTGCTGCCACCGAAGAGGCAAGGAAGGCAGACACATCCTTAAGTCTCCGCTAGAGGCCCGCCACATGATGTGGGATCAGGCTTCTGTCTGCCTGGCGGTCAGAATGCTTTGGAAAGAGCGGTCCCGTGCAGGCTGTCGCTTGGGACGTGCGACAAGTCACATGGACCTAAGCTGTCCTACACTCTGCCGAGCCAACAGAACATGAGTTGTTGAGATTTCCAAGCCGCGCCCTTCCTCGTGGCTTCAGGATGCTGGGCTCAAACACAGCCCTGCCTTGTCTTGTCTAGGTGCGGTGTGACCTACGGGACTGTGTATCTTAGTCCCGAGCGCGAAAGTACGAAACTGGATCTGAGGCCGAGGGAGTAGAGAGAACGACTTGCACATCTGCACTGACACTCCAGCCGTCGTCCGCATGCATGTAACCCGCACCGTCTGAGAAAAAAATGCGACAGCGCAGATTTGTGCAGAGAGTGGTTGACATGTTGAGAAGGAGGTGCACACCTTTGTCCAAGAAGTGGGAGTCCCCACACGTGATCCGTGTCCGGCTCATCACAGTCAGCCATGTCAGCCCTGTCAGGGTGTTAACATGTGTTAACTCACTAAAGATGATGTTAAAGTATCCCGACATGGTGCCGAATGCTCTCACGTGCTCTGCTAGCAGCTTGCATGCATGCTGTGTGGCTTTCGTTTGAAAGCAGAAGTCAAGTTTGAGCCTCCCACAAGAGTTCATCGCAGGCCTCTCGACTGGGCGAGCTCTGAAATTGGTGCGTCTTCTGGAAAAGATTGCGATCACGGGATGTCTGTATGCAAGCCAACGTGTGGGTTTGAATCAACAGTGTACAGTATGCAAGAGCTTGCCGCCCATACACATCTGCTACTTTGTCTGGCATGGGAGTTTGGCAGAGAAACCGCGTTGAGGCACCACCAAGGCTAGCCGTGAGGCATGAGAAGGACAACTAAAATGCGAGATCCGCAGCTCAGACTTGCGGGGGCGGGTTGTGCAACAACTTCCACGAGAATCTATTGATGATTGGCGCATGCCCCGACCATGATAACAGTGTGCTATGCCGGGTTCGCACTGCCAAAACGCGTCCGTGCGGGCAGCATTGCGCCCCTCGTGTGTACAGACAGGGCGTGATACGACGCGGTTCGTGGACTGCACTCCTAGCAGCTGGATGCCTTGCGAGCGAGACAATAACTGGACTTGCTAGAGCTGTTTCTGCGCACTGTTGCATGGGCCGACAAATCGGGGGCTGCAAGTTAGTTGAAGCAATTGAGGCATCAAAGCTCGCCAAAAATCAGAAATCGCTCCCCGATCCGACAGATGAAACGGGCCTGCAACCCAGCCCTCACAAGGAGATGGTGGCTCAAGAGCCTTCATGCCGAAAATATTATGTTGGTTGGTAAACCTGTAACCTGTAAACTTGACAGGAAGGAAGCATGGATTTTCGTGATGGGATGAATGTTGGAGGGTTGCACGTTTCAGGGTATCAAAAAGGCGTTGACGTTTTTTTCTGCCCATGATGCGGATTAGACACGAAGAGTTGGGAGCCTTTGCCGCGGAAAGCAGGACACAGGCTTTGCCATGTTGCTCCTGCATCTCCGCTTCTCCTGCATTGGCACGTGGGCGTGAAATAATCTTTCAGGCGTCTGGAATTCCGTCATCGTCCGTTTATCTTTTTGGGGCCGCGGGTTCATTACCACCAGCAGGGCGGATTCAAGCAGGACGGATGCGCAGTCTGCATTTGCATTCCAGAATCTTGAACAGAATTTAGGCGAATGTCTGAGCGTCTAGGAGCTTTCATCACCCATGAGAAAGAAGGCGGTAGTAGCAAGGCGACTGGGTTATCGTTCAGCACGTTTCGTGTTAGTTTCTTGCACTGACTTCAGTCAGATGTGCCACGGCAGCCGACATCTTCTCGAGCATGAGCTTTTCAGCCAACACCATGTGTAGCAGAGACGGCGAAGCAAAGGTGAAAACAAGTCGATGCAGCTCTGTGACTGCGGAAGGCAACCCACAAGAGCACACCCGACATGTTCGTAGCTCATGCTGAAATGCCGCAGTGCGAGCCGTGTGCGCTTCGACCTCAGTGCCAGGCTTACGTAAGAGCAGTCTGCAACATTCTGCAACCATCAACTGCGCATGCACTACAACAAGAATGGGGCCTGGTGCCATTTGCCCGAACGCACATCAATGCTTGCATGATGCGCACAAGAAGCACCTGCACTGTCAAGATCATGCACGGCTCCCAGACTTTCATTCTGGGTTTCGTTATCGGAAGGCTTTCGATTCTTTGCAATGCTTCTATAGGTTCAATGCCATAGATCTGAATATTTGCCTTCTTGTAAGGTCTTCCTGGAGAGATCTTGATTCGTTTCTCAAACCTCTGAGTGACGATTTAAAACTTGTGTGTGTTTGCGAAATGCAATCACAAGAGGCTGCGCCAGCGGCTCGTACTCAAGTTCTACCAGGACCGCTTGGCTTGCGTTATCAACCAAGGCCAACGAACTTCTGAAACCTGTGTTGTCCTGCTGCTTGATTTCTCCTGTCCAGACCAGTTGCTCAACGGGCTTCCGAGCTGTGAGGATGTTTGTGCCGACCTCCTCTGTGAGAGAGCCAAGCTGGTTGCAGATGCCACTTGACTTCAGCAGATGCGTCAACAGCAGTGGCCGAGCTTGGTATTTGCCGTGCGGCGACTGCGTGAGCACAGCTGTTTAGACTGCCCAAGAGTATAACGAGGTTGCCAAGTTGCGCGACGAGCAGGCAAGCGTTTGTTCAGCACCTGATCTTCGAGCTAGGGATGAAACATTCTTGATGGTGGTTCTCTGAGGCAGGCTTAACCCACGAGCTCAACGTCACCACGAGTCGGGCATGTTTTTCTGCGACTTTGGCACAGCTGGCATGAGTCGTTGGGCGGCGATTTTGAGCACCTTTGCAGGAAGCGGTTGGATCAACTGTCGCTTGGAATCAGATTTCAGATGCCCCAAACTGCAGAAACTTTGCGCCGATCTTAGGCGGGCGTTGCGGGAGGAGGATCTCAGGTGCTGCCTCAGACCTTGGCCAGAGAGAGAGAGGGGCTTAGCACTCACGAAGTCCTTCTAGCTGTGCCCCAAGGACAGAGAAAGAGAGAGAGAGAGAGAAAGATAGTACATCTGCCTTCATCGGGGGAAAGCACTAACCAACTTTCGCGCCTCTCCGAAAGCCCCCAACAAACATTGGGGGGGCCTACAAGGCCGAGGGGCTTAAGACACCCCTCATGCCCCGGGGAAAGAGAGAAGAAGAGAGAAGAAGAGAGAGAAAGAGAGAGAGAGAGAGAGAGAGAGAGAGAGCGCGCAGGGGTGGTGGGGCCAAACGCCCGGCAAGCAAGCAAGAGAGAGAGAGAGACAGAGAGAGAGAGAGACAGAGAGAGCGAGATCGAGACAGAGAGCGAGAGCGAGATCGAGAGAGAGAAGGAGAGAGAGGGGAGAGGAGAGAGAGAGAGAGAGAGAGGGAGAGAGAGAGAAGAAGAGAGAGAGAGAGAGACAGAGAGAGAGAGGTTCGGGGGCCCAAGCTGAAGCGTAGAACACCTACAAGCTTCTTGCGCCAACACAAGTGTGCTCGGCCAGGCGGGGCGACATGTCATTGTGGGAGCACGGGGGCACACTGCATGTCATAGTGGGAGCACGGGGGCACAGGGACGACCTGGCCTGGCCGAACACTACGACCCAAGTCTCACACCGAACTCGAACAGTGGCGTAGCGCTCGCGCGCAGGGGGAGTGGGGACCCGAGCCCCACCTCCCAAACGCCTTGCAAGCAAGCAAGCAAGAGCGAGAGAGCGAGAGCGGGAGCGAGATCGAGAGAGAGAGAGAGGGGAAGACCGCGAGCCTTTGCATGGCGGTTGCAGTGATAGGTGCTGCGCTAAACTTGGCCAGAGCCTGAAGTCCCTCCAAGACGTGGTCCAAGAACTCAAGGAGGACTTAGACTGCTGGGTTTTTACGTGGATTGCTAGCGCTATTAACGCCGTAGCCTAGTACTTGTAGTACCCCCTACTGTGCGGGACAGCCCCCTTGCAAGACTCTGAACTTCAACGGCCAATGGCGCATTCCAACACAGGTCGCCAGAACCCAGCGACTGATTAGAGCCCCGAGAAAATGCATTCGGCCCTCAAGCTCCTTCATTTGCCATGGAGGGCAAAACAGAGCAAAGACTGAGTCCAGGCTTATTCGGGTTTGTGGTGTAGTGTAAGCTTAGGTTTAACATGCCTTGAATTGAGCCGTTGAGCCTTGACATTCCGCTTTGCATCGTTGGGCTGCGTCGGATGTTGGGAAGCCTTGTCTGTGGATATGCATGCCGGCCATAAAAAGCTGTCCAGAGAATCACACA